TGAAACACCTTGAACTATTTGAAGTTTGGAAAATTTATTTACTGAAACCATCAAACCACCCCAGTAATGTCATGGCCCCAAAGGAAATATTTCAGAATTTCTCTAAGGCAGAAGAAAAATGCTGCTTTGGGTTGATTAACTGCCCATCAAATGATAATAACTTTGAGAACATCATGTGTGGTATCTACTAGGGCCACCTTCTAGAACAGGACTGAAGGACTGTTATGGTGATTCTGGCAATTTTCCGGGCTTGGTTTACCTTCCTGCCCAAGAAAAGAAAAAACTTGTCTTGGATTATTTTGAAATACCAGAGAACCAAACAAGATACCTAACAACCTTCCTGGATAACTTGCAGTTCCAAAGCATATGTGGTACCTCTAACAAATAGGGAATGTTTATTCAGTTCAGTGTAAGAGTATCGAAGTTGACACTATGGCCAAAACCCAAATAATTGTTTTGATAGAACTTGCCAACATTATTGTTGCTTGGAAATAATTGGACACTTATTAAATTTATTTAAAGGGAAGAGCCCAAGACAGAGCAGTCAAATTTTAATTCCTGATATCTAATTTGCTTTATTATGCTGTATTTTATTGTAATCCAATACATTATTATGCTTACAATGACACATGAGACATAAACATTTCACGTAAGCCAATAAGTAAACAATATATCTAATGATTGGTAATGAAAACATTTTTCCAATGCTTTCATTCTAGGACATCTTTTATGTACCTTAATCATCCTTCTTCAGTGTAAAAATAATGGAAATGTTATAAATGACTAAATATGAAATAAAATATTATAAACTTTATAAAACTTTGTAAAAGAATTTACATTCATACTTATTTGTTTCCTGGGGTTTTTATGATGCTTAAATCACAAGCAAGCCAGAATTTCTTGGTTGTCTACTGCCAAACATCAATACCAATTCTCCTCCTAACAGTCAAAGCAAATTTTAGTGTTAATGGTTGATAGGTGTCCCATCCTTCATTAATTCTCTTCTGGTTGCAACTCTTCCAACAGAATCCTGCAGAAAAAGGAGATGAGAAACTGGGACATTTGATGGAATCAGCATGGAATTATTTGTTTGGTCTCAACTCCTGAACTTCTTTCTAGTCCAACCAATGAAAACAAGATTTGAAATAAGCATACCCAAAAGGAGGCTTTTCTATATCTATATTGATATCATCTATATCTATATCTATATCTATATCTATATCTACATCTACATCTACATCTACATCTACATCTACATCTACATCTATCTATCTATCTATCTATCTATCTATCTATCTATCTATCTATCTATC